GTTTTTTAAATCTTTCTTCCTGATAACAATCCTAATGGAAAGATGTCTTCTATTACTCATGGCACTGAAGGTAGTAGAGTGAAGTTTTTAAGATCAACAACTAAGGAGTTGCTCCTGTGGGTTTGAGTCCTCGCTCTGCAGTGACTTTGACCAAGTTATTTAACCTCTCTGTGCTTTAGTTTCTAATTTGTCAATTGTGAATACTACTTACCTTTTAAGAATATTGGAAGGTTAAAATTAGATAATGCCTGTAAAGTATTTGGAATAGTCCCTGACAGAATAAATGCTTGCTGTTTATTAATGGTACCATTACTACTACCACATTCAGGGTTTTTACTAGACTGTTGATGTTTTGTGACTGGTAAGCAGAAATCAGAGTAGACTGCCACCATAAGAAGGCAAAACCTTGGCTAGACTTTTTAGAACCTGTGTATATACAGGCAGTCCTTGCTTTGCAGTTTTGAAATGCATGAATTTATGTTACTGTGGTTTAGTTATATAACACCAATTCCCCAGCCACATGGTTCAAATTTTTGTTACTATGGTATACTAATTGTGATTAATTGCACAAAGTAAAGACTTCACTGTGAATCTTCAGTCTAAGGTTACTACATAAATACACGATGAGTGACCAGTTGCATCACTTCTTTCAGAGTCTCTTGATGAATTTTACTAACAGTGCATCTGTTATTTAGGCCACTCACAGACAGCAAAGTATGTTGTTGTGTTGTCCCCTTGTTTCTCAGTGAATAAATAACCTGTGTAATGTTTCACAAAAATGGATAGTTGAAAGCTGGCCAACAAAGATAAAAGTGCAGCAAAGAAATGAAAGGCAGTAATGTTGTAAGTGAAATTGCATGTGATCCTAGGGGATTTGAAAATGGTGACAGCAAAATGAAAGTAGGATGAATGAAGCTTGATATGAGCCATATGAAATAGTAAAGCAATGGTGTCAGCTATTGAAAGAGTCTGATGAATACAAAAAACACAATAAAGTCACTTCATCATCTTTTAGTTTAAGTTTCAGTAGGAATAGAAAGCTGCTTATGGTTGAAATGGAGCATTTTACTTCTGCTTTGGGTTAAAGACTGCAGGAGAAAAACAAAATTCCAGTGAGTTTTGCTAGTGTTCAAGGCAGAGTTTTGAAGTTTAGTTGCAATATTGAAAGGAAGTGATAATTACAAGAGGACTGGAGATCATGCAGTTTGTTTACCTGAGTTATGGAAGCAATATGACATAAAAGCACGTAATTGAAAACGTTTACTCATTATGCCAGGAAGCAAAGATTAATAGTATGCATGTAGTGTGGCAAAACTTTTACTACAGTACACGAGTAACTATGTAGGATTTGAAGAGGACATCAGTGGAGTTACAGAAGAAATAGTTGCCTGTGGGAGTTTTGACAATGCCACTATTCAGTGGGCTCCAGATATGCAGCCACAGAGGAACTTAGTGAAGATGGATTTATTAGCATAAACAGAGTGGTTGTGATGAAAAGGATGCATGTCCCAAAGGAAGCAATGCCAACAAAAACTTCATGTTAAAGGAACTCCCACTTTTTCACAACACTGAAGTGCAAAGGATAAAATACTGGAAGCTGACTTAAACTTAGAAAGGAGTGTGACAGTTGGCCAAAGCATAGGTAAAATGCTTACTCAGTATTGTAAATTATACAGGAAGAAAAGCTCTGTTCAAACTATTCTTAATTGCTTCCAAAGAAATAACATACTTTAATTTCCAGTGTTTCTAAGTGCTTTAAATGACAAGCTATTAAATAAATTATACTTTTTCATTTCCCTATATTTATATCTGACAGCGAGTTTTTAAAGTTTTGACAAAAATGTTTAAAGGTTGCAGAACAATCATAATTTTCTCCATTGATTATAAGGTCATTTTGCACAATTTGAGTTTGTATGCTTCTACACACTGTGCATAGTGTATCTCTTGCACTCTTTCTGTATCTCTTTCTCTACTTGATCTCTTTAGGAAGAAAAAACAGTTGCAAGAACTCTCATGTAGAAGACTTTTCCAACCATGTTTTCTTTTGACTTCTTTAGGGTGAAAGGTATAACTGATTGGTATAACAATTTTTGTGAAATTTAGTTTTTAGTGTTTTTTATATTGTTCTGAAAAACTATGATTGAGTTACAGCTTTTCTTTATTGTAGTTCTGTTTAGCCCCTTCTGTCATACATGTCACTTTTGCAATTGTTAACAAAATTTTCATCTAGTAAGAGACTACAGTGTCCTTTAACTGATACTGGTCAGATGCTTGCCTCCTTTTCCTTGCCTCCTTTCTTAATTTTTATACATAGTTTTCATGGTGGTATATAGCATCATAATGATTTGATGAACTAAAAGCAAAGATAAAAAAAATTAGTTTCCTATTGCAGGCCATTAACATATCATCTTTATTTTTCTCATTTTTCCATAAATTAAGTCTAAAGCAGTGCTAGATGTGCTGTGTTTTTGGTGTTTATATGGGTGCTAATCTGGTTAAAGCTATTTAAATCTCTGTTTTGGGCAAAAACTCATCTATTATAGAAGGCTGAAGTTTCTCTTCTTAATAGTAGTTGCAATTGTAATAATTTATAATTGACAAGTGCTCTGTAGTTTACAATGTACTTTCACCATGAGTTTTTTCATTTGCTTTACATTAACATAGTGAACATGTCAGTGGTTCATATTTGTATATGAGAAATGTAGAAAATGAGACTTTGAAGTGTGTGACTTACCCAGGATCACACAGAGAATTTATAATTTTTTTTTTACTGATAGGCTAGGGAGGTGGCAGAGTATTATGTGTGAAAGATGATTCAGTTTTGGAGTCCTAGGTATATGCACACATTCCAAGTCCTTTAACTTAATAATATGTGGTTTGGACAAATCACTCCTACTTTCTGAAAACCAGTTTTATTATTTATCTTATGAAAGCTTTTTTAAAATGTCTATGCAATAATATAGTAATGCCTCACTTATAGGTATTTAATAAACAGTTGCTATAATTAATATAATAATAATTATTAGTATAATATCTCATTCGCTGAAAGTTTGATTTCAAATTTTGGGTTAGGTCAGTTTTTACTTTATTATAAATAATGTTGGGTGTGTCTCCTTTCTGTATTATTTTAACATTCTGTACTTATTATAGAACTTACCATATCAGGTTGTAAACTGCCTGTTTACTTATTTTCTTCTCCCAATAGACTGTGAGCTCCTTGAGAAAGTAGGTGTGATAGCTGTATGCTTTCTGCATTATTTATAGAGTTAGTGAGAGAGGTTGAATGCTTTGAACTCCCTAGTGAAACACTTAATATTCATATTAAGTGTTTGTGGTACTAATAATATCTATCTAATTACTGACACATTATTCCTAATAGACCTTGCTTTTCTCCATAGGAAACCTGACATGCTTGAATGAAATATAATTTTGGAAATGACTAATACATCTTGATAAAAAAAAATTAGGCAATGTTAGTGCTGAATGAACTCCTTGGAATTCATATATTATTACACCTCTTTCATTTTCTATAAAAGGAAGCAGAGGCCCAAGGGGGCTAGGTGCTTTCTGTAAGGTAACACTGCTTATTGGTGGACTTTTTTATTTATAACTCAGGAAAACAGCAGTGCATCAAAGATCATCAAAGGTGATATATGTTGCCATATAAAGAAAACCTAAACTTCTGCGGCTCCTAAGTATAACTTAGGAAAATTATATTAAGGAAATATAAAATTGTATCATTTACCTGCAAGTGCTTGATAAGCAAATGATATAAAACTTGAAAAATTTTTAAAAAGAGTAAAAAGAAAGGTGGGAGGATGAATACTCAGATGCTAGGATTGTTTCCTAAGGGAGCAGAGATTGGAGAGAGAAAGGAGAAATTATTTTTTCTTTATCCATATTGGTATTCATTACCTTTTTACAATGAATATATTATTATTTTGTAATTTAAAACCCTATAATATAGAAAATTGTTTTAAAACCATTAGAGATACAAACTGAAGCAAAATTTGTAGGGAATGTGAGATAAGTCTTTAGTCCACATTGACCTGACCTTTTAGGTGGAGGGACCAAATTTTATATCTGAAAAAGAATTTAACTCTTTTATTCTTGATTAGCAAGAATTTAAGGCTACAGTAGAAGAAATAGCACAATGAATTGCATGATTAATTAACTTTTAATTTGTACAGTCTTTATTATAGGAATTCATAGTAGAGGGATCATGGCCATGTTTAGCCATGTTCAACTTCTCTTGACTTTCTATTTCTTACGTAAAGCTGATATAAAAATGTTAGATTTAGTTGAATTTTTGAGCTTATGAAAATCATTTGCAAATGAAGTGGTGGTGTTGGTGGAATTCCTAAAGCTTCTCTAGCACCAGGAAGCATGGAATGAATGAATTAATTAATTAATAGTTAATAGTGTAAAGTATGTTGGATAATATCGTGGATATGTGTCTTTCATTAATTTCTTTTCTTTCCAAACTGAGGATACAATATTGGCAGGCTACTTAGTGAACATTCCTATGGAGGGCCATGGGAATTGTTTCTGTTGATCTGAGTTGATGCAAAGCAAGAGCTCAGTGTCTTTTATTTTATTTTTTTAATGTCCTCTCTTAATTAACTAGGTTAGTTGATCATGACCTATATGTTTGATATAACTAAAGCAAATAAAATTTCATTTTTGCTTAGAGTTAATTCATATCTCACTACTGTATTTACTAATTGTGTCAATAATTTGTGGCCTTTTTTATCACAGTTTTTGATCACTAATAATCTTTTACATGAAAAAATAAAGATCTGGGAATTTAGTAACATATTACCATGTGATTTTATTATGTATTTTAATGAATTCTTTTTTGTGGTGTTTCTCTAAAAGACTAAAGCTATTTGTAAGTACAGAGCTCAGATTGTATAGCTACTATAAAACTTTTTTTGCTCACTGGGCTTCTATATATTTTTGATACCTTATTTCTCCTTTTTTCCCCCCAATATTTTCAGATGTTTTGGAATGTTATTAAGCCCAGGTCGAAACGTGAAGAACAGTGACATGCATTTACTGGATATGGTAATGATAATCTTAAGCATCTTGACCAAGTATAGATGACAGTTATTTTATACTTTTAAAGTATTTTCTATTTTAAAATTCTATCATATTGTCAAGATACTTTCTAACTTACAGCTGTATGATAGTACTACTTAAATTTGGGAACCCAAACTTAAAATTATTTATAAGTGGGAGATACAGGAAATTTTCCGCCAAAAAAATCCTATGCAAGTTGAAAGCAAATAAAAGGGTGGTGTTATGACAATGTCCATCTATTCACCTGTTTGGCTTCTTAGGAAGATGTCTTTTCTTTGAGCCAAAAATAGCAAGTATTTGATTATACCAGACATATGCAGAGTGAATATAGTAGTTTTCATTTATGTTAGTGTTATTAGTTTGAGTGATGGATGCTTTTGTTTCCTTTAAAGCATCTCCCTTTCCAAATTTCTCCTCCTTGATCACCTGTCCTTTAACAAAGTGTATTTACTACAGGAGTTGGTATTTGTTTAAGGAATGCCCGTAAGGGTTAATATGTATTTAAGAATTGACATTTGCTGTAAAAATAGCAAGTCATCTTAACTTTCAAGCTGAAATACCTTCTAATACTTCAATTAATAGACATTTGCTTTGTGATTTAGAAATATTATAGGAAATCGTCATCTTAAGTAGAAAGTGCTTTACCTACTTTGAGAGTCTTACATTTAGTGATAGCAAGTACTGCATGTTTTTTTCCTTTCAGCTGTGTTTTGCAAATGCCAGTTAAATATCACCAATTATATCAAGTTTTCTTTTGAGTATTTTTATGGTAACACCACATGGATCTTCTAGTGGTACTAGAATGGCGTATTCAGCCTTTTTGAGTACCTAATAGTGTGCCGAGCATTGTGTGAAATGCTGGGGTTCTAGGTATGGTAAAACATAACTCTTAGCATCTGTGGGTTCATAGTCTTATGAAGGAAACAGACCTTTTAAGTATGTAACTACAGCAATGGGTCAAGTTCTCTCATAAAGTCGGTGTAATGTGCCACAGAAATATAAAGGAAGCACTACATGGGTAGGTAAGACAAGGAAACAGGTTACGTGGAATGTGAAAACAAATTGGCTGTTGATCCATGTCTCTTCCAGCTCTCTCTACAACATATCAGTAATGCAAGTAGTCTTACCTAAGGCAAGCCAGAGCATTTTGGAGCCTCCAAATTCCATGAGGAGGTAGTTTTCAGGAACATTAAACACTTACAAGCTATAAAATCCTAATTAGCCTTGGTCTTCCAGAGTTTAAAAGGTTAAGATGAATCACTGGCAGAGACTTTTCTGTAAAACCTAAATTCAGAGTACAGAATTACAGACCTGGCCTGAGCATCTGAGGCCCTTCAGTCTTATGTGTCTCATTTGCAGTACAGTCTTCCACCTTTAAGAGTCCATATTGAAATCAAAGGGCTCATGAGCAGTGAAGTTCCTGGAAAGACAAGTGGGCTTATCTGTACAGCAAGTAGGTAGTCAAGTCGGGAGGCTTTGTGTTTGCAGTTATCATCAGTTGTGATTTATTGTTACCCAGTGCTGTTAATCTTCTTGCTATCTTATACATGGTTATTAAGCTTCCACTAGACTACATCTAATAAGAAACAACTCATTATCTTATAGGGAATACTATGAGACAGTTCTGGTTATTACAAAGGTATTTCTTTGTAATCACCTGAAATCATAGTTCTTGTAACTTTCCCTAATTAGTCTTAGTTCTGTACTCAAGAGCAAGATGTTAATACTTATGCTTCTGTTACATGTCCAAATATGTGGTCACTTTGAAAACAGATTTCACCTTCTTATACTTTATTCTAACAAACTTTAGAAAAATACACAATTATATTTAATTTCAGAATGTGGGAGACTTCCTTTTGTCTTGAATAGTTTTGAAGCAATGCTGACTTTTCTTCTTAATGCTTTTTAATAAGATAAATTGAGACTTTTCTCTATATTTATAAATTTTATGTAAGATCTGCATGAAAGAGAAAGTCATATTTATAAAATTAAAATACATTTTTTAGTCAAATAGATGGATTACTTGTATATATTGTATGTATTATACCAAGAAAATCACATATATATATAATATTGGTTAGGTTTTCTTGGGGGTACAGATAACAGAGACTCAATTTTTTTCCCAGTAGTAAGATTATTTTTGGTGAGGATAATTGTAGAGTAGGAATAAGGAAATAAGAATTTTTCATCCACAGCTATTGATGCCTAGGAAAAGGCTAACAGCAAGGTACCAGGAAGAGCTGAACACTCAGTAGACCTAGGTTTCATGGAACTGGAACACAATTTAAAATTAAAGTCTTAGAGATGCCTCAGAAAATCTGTAGATCATTACAGTTAACCATTTATTGACACTAGAATAGTAGCTGGACTCACAGTTAAGAAATATGTTTTACCCTATAGTCTAATACACGTGTAATCTGTATGTGTAAAAAGCTGAAGTAAAATTTTCATGAAACAATTCTTAACCTTTACATGTGTGATGAACTTTGCCATTTTTTCCTCTACTTGATTAAAAGGGCTGGTCATAATCAACTAAAGTGATTATGTGATCCACAAATGGGGCACATAGTATTTGGGAAACATTAGCCTGTCAGCTCCATAACATCTGGACCATTTTGTCTTCCTTGCTGGATTTTCACAGGTGTAAGAACGTGGTTCGTTCTTACCATGCTTAATGAATGAATGTATTAGCATCAACTTAAACATTTTTTACTTTTTCTGCGTGTTTCCTCTTTCTAGTACCATTTATCTGCTTCAGCCTTCTGTCTGCCTACTTGACCTCAGAACTTCAGCTTACCCATGACTTGAGAGTAGTTCATTCATGGCTCACTGCATGGTTCTTTGGCTTCTGTCTTACAGCCTGTGCTCTCATTGCAAACTGTCACATTCTCTATTTCCAACTTTATTTTCCTAAGAAGGCGGCATCTGGTGGCAGCCTGGCCTGCTTTAGGCAGTGTTTGTTATCCTGATGTCCCTTACTTGCTGTCCTTGACCTCATCAGCCCTGTTGGGGGCAGGGCAGAGGAGTAGGGAAGAACTCAGGCTTTAGCAAAGCCTGTGAAGAAGTATATTTATTGGGCTGGGACCAAGCCAAACCATGTGATGGGAATATCTAGTTCCATCACAGAAATATCAGACTTGATGAGGAGAAATTTTTATTGAGGGCTTTGATGTATAATACTTTGTTAATTGTAGTTTTGTATTGTGAGGACTACAATGAAATAAAAATATGGTTGTTTTAGTTAGGCTACTTTGGTTACAGGAAACAAAGGTTCACAGAGAACGCATTAAAAAGAAGAGGTTGCTGATCTTCATGAGATTGTACCTGACCTGGGAAGCCGTCTCCGCCATCTGGTTTCTTCCTCTTTGTCACCTCCGCCCATGTGCTTATTTTGTGAGCTTCTTGGTTAAGGCTGCAGCTCTCTCTGCTGCCCTGCTCTCCCGCCCTCTGGCGCTGCTCCTCCTTTCTGCATCCTCCTCTCTTCCCATCCTCCTCTCTCCCTCTCTCTGCTTCTTTTCTTCTCTCTCCCCCTTTTTCTCTCACATCCCCCTCCCTGACCCTTCTCTGCCTCTCTCTCTCTGCTTCTCCTTCCCTCCCTGCCTCCCAGTATCTACCTTTGTTTTTTGACTGCATGGTTGATAATTTTTAAGGATTTTTTTGTGCATTTCCTCCATTTTCTCTCCTAACCCCTTAGCTGTTTTCTAACACTGTGCTGTTCTTTATATATTTTTCCTACTTTATAATTTCAGTTACCTTATAACTTCATTTTATATGTGGCCTGTTAGTGCCTGACTTCTTATTGAAACTTTTCAGCTCCACTGCTAACTGTCCACATTCCTTGGTATTTGTTATTTGAAAGAACAAACTTGATTGGTCTAGCTCATCATTTTGGATGCAAACACAGTATAAGCTCTTATTCAGAAATGGATTATTTATTTTTTTTGTGGGGTCAGACGCCCGTTCTCATTCAGAGTGGAGGTCTATTTAGAGGGTAGAGGTTGAGGATAGGCACCAGGGAGGGAGGGAGTGGAGAGGAAGAGAGGATATGAGTATGTGACTGTATTGGAGGTGCTGAGTGGCTTTGTGTGGCCTTGAATGTACTTCATCTCTGCAGGGCTGGGGCCCTGTACTCAAGCTATACAGCCTAGTAAGGGAAACATCAGTACTTGAGAAAAATATACATAGTAATTACCAAATGACTGAAATAATTTTGTAAAGATTTAGATAAAAATCTCTGTAGGCATAATACTAAAAAAAAGTTTTCTGTTTGCTTTGGTCTAATCCTTTTAGCACTCTATTTGTAATATTAGGAAATTGGTAGAGAAAATTGAAAGTACTGTAGATAATATGCTTTCATATTTGTGTACTGTTTTGTTCTCCTATGGAATAACCTCTGACTTCCCCTACCCCCATCACACACACATGCAGTTGAGTTTTGAACAGTGTGGGAATTAGGGGCATCAATCTCCCTTACAGTAAAAAATCCATGTATAACTTTTGATTCCCTAAAAACTTAACTACTAATAGTCTACTCAAAGCCTTACTGATAACAATTAACACATAATTTGTGTGTTATATGTGTTATATACTATATCTTAAAATAGAGTAAGTTAGAGAAAAGAGAATGTTTTTTCAAATTGTCCCAAATCTTCAATAATTTTTCCATATATTTATTGAAAAAATCCACATACAAGTGGATCTGAGCAGTTCAAAACTTGTTTGAGGGACAACTGTACTATTAACAACTATATGGGGCTTTGTTTTCACTATAGGAGTTGCTGGCTTGGTAAAAGTCTTAAAGAGTGAAGGGAAGCAGAGGAAGGGAAAAGGGAGAGAAGGAAAGAAGGAAGAAATAAGTATAAGGGTAGCAGGAAATAGCTATGAAGTGGGACATTGATTTACGCACCAGAATTAGTCTCTAATGTTGATTTATGATTTTAAGAAAGTGTACAAATATCTGACAGACAAATACAAAGTAAAAACTTTAAAGGTATTAATTGTGACCAAGTAAATTACTATTTTCAAATATTACAATTTTCTTCCGATTAGAACATTGGAAGAAAAGTGCTAACTTCTTTTCCTGTGATTAGCTATTAATTCAGCTATCTTCAGTGAGATCTAAACTGTAGTTTTATAAAACTCCGTATATCCTTGTATGTGTACATATGTGAGATTTTGACAGTCAGGCTAAGATAAAGTTAAATATAACCTTATACCAGTATTATGTTCTTGTGAGTCAGCCTTTAAGGGTATATCTCCTTTTAACCAAAAGGTATATGCCTAAATGGAAACTCTGAAGAAAGTTGTAGATTTTAATATTTAAAGAAATTCTTTTATAGTGTGAAAAAAAATTTACAAAGAAATACCTCGTTTGATTGTAAGTCCAGGTTTTAAAAAGTAAATTGGATTGCTTGAAGTAAGATATGCTTGTAATTTAAAATGGTGATTTTCTTGATACATGTATTCTCAGTGATTTCTGTTTGTACTTTTACAGGAATCCATGGGAAAGAGCTATGATGGCAGAGCTTACGTTATCACTGGCATGTGGAATCCCAATGTACCAATATTTTTGGCACTTAATGAAGAAACCCCCAAAGGTGAATTTTCTGGAAAGATTCCTTATATTTGCTTTGAATTTTGTATTATGGACAGTGTTGTTTTGTCATAATTTTAAAACTTTGGTACTCATTTAAAATGGAGTTTTTCTTCTTATTTAGATTTTGAAGTTCTTTTTCATACTTTATACATCTATGGTGAAAACCTCCACTATTTAAAAGAATCCCCCTATACCCCAAAGATATGTGAATGAATTTTTATTTAATTTGGAGAAAGTGTTTGGGCTTTGTGTTTCATATGTCATTTTAGCATTTATTTGGATCAGTGATGCAAGAATATGAAAGAAATGATGAAAGCAAATTCTGAAGTTTTGCATACCTTTGATAACTGTTTTAACTCCCCCCCTTATTTATAAATTGCTTACAATTTTTCATTTATTAGTAATACATTCCACTCTTTTGATCTTTGGGATCTTAGTAAGTATATTAAGGATTTCATTTGTGGCAAACACTGTTTTCTAGTTGTTTACATTTTCATTTTGTTATTGTTTCTAGTGTTGAACAGAACTTATAATCACATATCTCATTTTCCACATTGTGTTATTTTTATTCCTGCTTTAACCAGATATCTGTTAATTGACTAGTTATTTTTTTATTATTTTTATTTTGTTATCATTAATCTACAATTACATGAGGAGCATTGTGTTTACTAGACTCCTCCCATCACCAAGTCCCCCCCACAAACCCCATTACAGTCACTGTCCATCAGCGTAGTAAGATGCTGTAGAATCACTACTTGTCTTCTCTGTGTTGCACAGCCCTCCCCGTGCCCCCTACCCCACATTATACATGCTAATCGTAATGCCCTAATTGGCTAATTTTTTTGCCTCTCCATCATTTGTCTTTAAACTAAAATTTAAGGTTTTACCTCATGAGTTATAATCTTATAATAAATGATTCACTATGATTTAACTAATAATTTATATTGGAAACATAATCAATCAGTTTGTTTGATTATTTAGTTTATATTATTTTATATATATATATATATATTTATTTATTTATATTATATTAAACTATATTATTTAGTTTATAACCACAGTAGACTTTTGGTAAATATCAGGAGCATTAGTAAATACTGATATGGAAATATATTAGTGAAGAATATTAAATGATAATTATTCTTGAATTTCTTATAGTATTTACTATTTCTGCAAATTGCATGCATTTGATTATGCATCAAGCTGTCTATTTCAAAATAAGGGGTAAAAAGAGAGAAAAATAATGTAGGTTACATAAAATTTAGCTGTTCATATATTAGGAATAAATAGTTTTTATACCATGTTTTGTTATTTCTGGAGACAGGCTTGTAAATGCCAGCCTATAAACTTCTTTCTTATAATCATTCAGAAAGTAAACACAAAACAGCAAAATAAGCCAGTTGATAATTTTGAAGAATAAATATAGGAATTGCAAATAAGTTACAAAAGCAGTTTTTATCGGTTTTTATTGTGATAGTTCAATTTCATTTTGTATTTTAATACACTTTTGGTTCTCAAAAGATAACATTTAAAAAATTTATTTTATTAACATACACTTTATATAATGCAATCTTATAAGAATATTCTGATCCAAAAGATAATGTATTTTAAATCTAAAATTATTTCATATGCCATAGGAAAATGTTGACATGATATCTGAAATACCCAAATGGTGTCCTTAAAATATAAGTTAGTCAGCGAATTCATTAATCAAAGTTTGATTTTTTACAGAAGTTAAAGCCCTGAGAGATGAAATGTCTAGGATCTTTTCAGTACCCCAGTTGTGTTTGGGTGTTACGTTCAGTGTTGTATTATTCCCTCTTACTCCTCTGCAATACTCCTTTTAGATTTTAAGGTCTTCCAGGTCAAGTAGAATGTCTAGAAAATCCTAGCTTCTCTTGAATTGACAGGTAGAATACTTGTATTTAGTAAGAATATAGTAAATTTTTTGTTGAATTTGATGATATTAATAGAAATGTAGTTGATGAGTATAAATATTGTATAATGTTTTAGAAAACACTATTGAAAGTTTTTTTTAAGGGTAAGCTTTGAACTTTCATTTAACTGAGAACTAAACATGGTGGATAAAATAAATTTTAAAAATATTTTAAAAATAACAAGGAAATGATGCAATAATATCGAATAACAGAGCCAAAGATTAAAAAACTCCAGTGAATCTTAAGCAGGGTGAATAAAATAAAATGAAATCTGTATCATAGTGAAACTGAAGAAAAACAATAGACACTGGCCCAGAAGACTCTAGATTCAAATTAAAGGAAGGCTGTAGCCAAGTAAACATTCAAGATAGTAACTGAAATTTTGACTGATAATGCTATACTGTTGTCTAAAAGTGCTTGCTAGGATTAGTCTATATTATAGTTAATCCTTGAACAATACAGGTTTGAACTGTATGGGTCCACTTTTTTGTGAATTTTGTCCAATAAATATATTGGAAAAAATTTTGGACATTTATGACAATTAGAAAAAACATTTTCTTTTTCTGGCTTTATTGTAAGAATGCAGTATATAATATATATAACATACAAAGTCTATATTAATTGACTTTTTATGTTACTTATGTTATCAGTAAGGCTTCCAGTCAACAGTAGGCTATTAGTTGTTGAGTTTCTGGGGAGTCAAAAGTTACATGCAGATTTTTGACCACACAGGGATCAACACCTCTAGCTGTTGTCATGTTTAAGGGGCAACTGTGTATATAAAAACTGCACAGAACTATTTTGCTAGAACTTTGAGTGATTTTCCTGAGGGTATTTATATGTTACGAACAATGAGGGTACTGACAAACCTCCAGGGACTTCCCTTAAATCATGCAACATAATACTCATTTTAATAACATTTTACTGTATAAATTTAGCATATGAAGACTGAACTTGACAGTCCTTTCCATGCAGCTCCTCAAACAAACCTAGTCATTTAAAATATCTGTTTTTATAAGATGAAAGGACAAATCTTTGTGGTTTTCCTGGTTTTCTGTGAAATCAGAAAGATAGTTTTAGTGCAAAAAACATTCTGATATTTTATTGTATTTGTTTCTTATTTAAGGAAGAAAAAATTGAAGTTGTCAGGGATGATTTGGACAACTGATTAAGAAAGGATCATGAGCATTGAGAAACATACTTGAAATATGTGGTTAACTATTTAATGAAAGTGTGACAATGAAACATTTAAAATGAAACATAGAACGTAACATGATTGTAAAGAACCTTATTTTTTTCACAAGTGAGGAAACTTAACTTTCTTAAATAATCAAGGAGTAATAAAGCCAGCATTAAACACAGAAAACTTCTACTGCAGATAAACGCGTGTACATGACTGTGGCAGTGGATATGGTAGTCACTGAGGTGGTGGAGCCTGTTCGCTTTCTCCTGGAAACAGTAGTACGCGTGTACCCTGCAAATGAGCGATTTTGGTATTTCAGCAGAAAGACTTTTACAGAGACTTTCTTCATGAGGTTGAAACAGGTAAGTCCTTTTTGTTCTTATATCATAACACAAATCTTTTTTTCTCCCATTCTTTTTTAATGTCAAGATAATTCCTTAAGTAGCAATAAAAAGCAATAAGATTTTGCAAATAATCAGATGATATTTAGAGTCAATGAGTAGAGTACTTGAGAAATCATCATCTACATAACATAAGTTGAAAAAAAACCCCAGTAGTATTATAATTAATGTTCTTTATTTAAAAATCTGATGCATACCTGTAAAGTATCAACATACTTAATAATGGAAATACTGATTCTATATTTTAAATAACTTATTTCTTATATCTATAATTATTTAAAACCAAAGAGAGTGCAGAAATATATCTATATAAAGTTGAAATGAAAAATTTTGAATACCTAATTGTCATAGTCATTTTTACCTATACTGTTATATGAATATGTTTGACTTACCAGTAGGGTTATAAAAGTATTTTAGAATTAAATGAACAACATTAGGCTTTCTACATACCTAAATTGGACAGTGTTCATAGATAAAATGCATAATTTTTGTTTGTAGTGAGAAAAAAGGTATCAGTGAAAAATAACTTGAGTTTCCAATGGGGTCCATTTTGTGAAGGCACAATGCTCTATTTGAATAATGGAAATCCTTTATATACTATTAGTAGTCCTGCTCTCCCAAGTTTAAAAATGCCTGCTGTTTCATATACTGTAATATGTGAAATGTAGTGTGGTAAAAGCAAACCTCAGTGAACAAATACAGAAGACACTTTCCATTTTCATGTTAAAAAATGGTCATGGATAAGTTAGGCTTCATATACTAGATACTTTGGGTTTTTTTTAACATTCTTAAATTTTTTTAAAGGTTTTTTAAAAATGTAAGTATAGTTGATACATGTTAAATTGATTTCAAGTATGCAACATAGTGGTTCATTAGTTACCCACATTATTAAGTCTTCACTCCCACTAGTGCAGTTACTATCTGTTAACGTAGAAAGATGTTACAGAACCACTGGCTGTATTTTCTGTGTTGCACTTCCATCCCTGTGACCAACTTATATTATGGTTGAAATTTTTCTGTCCCTTTATTCTCCTCACTTCCCCACCCATCAACCCAACCCCTCCCCTATGGTACCCATCAGTCACTTCTCAGTGTCTACGAGTCTACTTGTATTTCGTTCATTTTGTTTTGTTTTGTTTTTAGATTCCATAAGTAAGTGAAGTCATATGGAATTTGTCTTTCTCCGCCTGGCTTATTTCACTTAGCATAATACCCTCTAGGTCTATCCATGCAAATGGCAGGATTTCTTTTTTAATGGCTGAATAATATTCTATTGTGTATATATACCATGTTTTCTTTATCAATTTATCTCTTGATAGACACTTTGCTTGCTTCCATAACTTGGCTATTGTAAATAATACAGCAGTAAACAGAGGGGTAAACAATCTGGTAAATTTCTAGAAGTTAAATTACTGGGTTGAATGATATTTCTATTTTTAATTTTTGGAGGAATGTCCATACTGCTTTCCACAGTAGCTGTACCAATTTACATTCCCTCCAACATTTGTTAATTGTAGGAGGATTCCCATTTCTCCATATCTTTGTCAACATTTGTTATTTCTTCTCTTTTGGATAGTGGCTGTTCTAACTGGCATGAGGTTATATTTTATTGTGGTTTTAGTTTGCATTTCCCTGATGATTGATTAACTTTGTGGAACATCTTTTCATGTGCCTGTTGGCCATCTATAATTCTTCTTTAGAAAAATGTCTGTTCAGGTCCTCTGCCTATTTTTTAGTCAGGTTACTTGCTTTTTTGATGCTGAGGCATATGAGTTCTTTATATATTTTAGATATTAACTGTGTATTTGTTTATCAGAATAAATCATTTGTGAATATAATATCTCATAGTGTTGGCTGCCTTTCTGTTCTGTTGATGGTGTCCTTTGCTGTACAGAAGCTTTTTAGTTTGATGTATTCACACTTGTTCATTTTTTATTTTGTTTCCCTTGCCCAAGGAGATTTGTCCAGGGAAAAATTGCTTATGCTTATGTTAAAGAGATTTTTGCCTATGTTTTCTTTTAAGAGTTTTATGGTTTCATGTCTTATATTTAGGTCTTTAATCCATTTCGAGTTTGTGTATGGAGTTAGACAGTAATCCAGTTTCATTCTCTTGCATATAGCTTTCTAGTTATATAATATAATGTTATCTGTAATTAATAACAGGTTTACTTTTTTCTTACCAATTTAGATGCCTTTTATCTCTTTGTCTTATTCAATTGCTGTGGCTAGGACTTCCAGTATGTGTACTAGATACTATGAAATTATTTTGTTTTTCATCTTTTGTAAAATTATTGGAGCTTTGATTTGGCACACCTTTTATTTAGACTGTTTTCTTTGATGTATGGGAAGCATATTCTACTGAAGATTATATGATGAGTTTTCAAAATTTCAGTCTCCCTAGTATTATTACATATTTTATTATGACATATTTTCTTCCCTTCCTCTCATCCTTCTTTTGTTTCTTTTTCTTTTTGCAGCTTAATTTTTATGACTCAGATAATTCATCATTTTGAGCCAAATTATTATTCACAGTTGCATGAGTGAATAAAGGACCTGTATAGAAAGTTGTTGTCATTCTTCTAGTGACAGTTAATAAATTATTTGTGATGTAAAATCTTCCTTCTTGAGATATGATAAAAAGTTAACTTCTCCCCATATATATTGGCAAGATAAATGAGAATACTACAATTTATATATTTATATAAATTTCAAAAATATGTATGCAGAGTGGATTTTTATTATTAAGTGCTACTTTCATATTTTTAGAACTACTGATGTTGAGTCAAGGCTGAGTGGTAAGGACTATGAGATGAGAATTTTCTTAGTAATAAAACATTAAAAATACTAAACAAGGTCTCTTTATATGAATTAAAAAAATTGGTTTTACTTGTAATATTCAGTTCTACTAAATGTAAGACTGATTTAGATGAACATCAGATATGAGGAAGATAGTATCAAACGTTAGTGGTATAATCTGTGTTCAAGAAAAAGTATGAAAAGCTATGGCAAATGGTTGTTGACTGGTATGTATATGAAGACAAACCTCCTCTGATGAGAAAAAATGAAGATGAAAAAATTGAAATCTCAAGAAGTTAAATGAATTATTAAAATTTATATGGATCATTATTGCAAGAGTTGAAACTACAGCTTTTACAGTAAGTCACACTATGCTGCTGTAAGGCCGTACTAGCTTCTTACTGTACTCTAGAGATTGGGTTGGTTTGTGGCAATTGACAATAATTTGTAGATATTTGTCTAGACTAGACAGTGTTGGTAGAAAGAAGAAGGTGAGAATAAAATGCAGTTCAAGGTTACCTTGGGAAATCTGAGTCCAGGCCATTCCTAATGTAAAGGACTCAAGGGAGAATTGGTTAATTTTAGTTTTGAGTGATTTGGACTTAGACACCTAGAACTGTTTCTTCTGGGATTATTGGATTTATTGAATAAGCCCAAAACTAGTCCTGTTCTCAAAGAGGATTAGATCAGACTCCTGGCAGGCAGCACCAAATGAGGTGGGATTCCCTGTCCCAAAATTATTTTTTCTTCCTGACTTTCCTGCTCTCAAATATAGGACTTTATCTGTGGGCTGTGGGCAGGTATTGAAAGTAGGGCTTACTAATTAGTGTCCTTTTAAGGCCAGTGGTATTGTCATTTCATTCATTTTCTACTTACAGGGAGAGAGGAGAGCATGTAACAAGGGAACTGAATTTAGAGACATGGGAAAGTTTCCTGGAGAAACCCCCTGGCCTGAGGCCTGACAGAGGAGTAGGTGCTACAACTTATTTCCAAATTTGCTCTGCATGGTCCTACAAAGTGTGTCTTATCAGGAGACCACACCAAAGGATATAAAACTGAATAAAGCAATGTTTCCGTCTGGGTACTAAATACAAGTGGGTTGTTTATTGTAGGCCTTCATCAAAAACTTGAATTATTAGTTCAGTGAAGAGGATTGATTCTAAAAAATTAGCACTTAAACATTTCAAGTTGTAAGCCAGAAAGGAGAGATTCGTTACTTACATATATTCTTTCCAGTGCATTTTAAAAAGTAATATGGCATTTATTAAGCCAAGCAAGATGATCAGCACAGTGACTTGGCTTCTTTCGTTAAGTATTTCGTTGCTTTCTCTTGTTGTCTTCTGTGGACTTTAAGAAAGCATTACCATCTGCCTATGAGAAAAACTACCCCTCCTATCTAAAGACTTACATTCTTTTAGTATGTTGACAATTTAATAAGTGGAAGCAAAGGCTTATCACCACCTGGAGAGTAATGTGAGAAGGAGAGCTACTTGGATATCACTTAATAATGAAATTTAGCTTATTTCATAATCAGATTTATTTTCTTTAGGTCTAGATAATATTCTTGTGTTTAAGACTGTTACATTACTCTTAAAATACTACTTGTTCAGCATTTTGAAATGAAATGCTTGCCTGTGACCAGAGGTTACTGCTTTTGTTCACAGTAATGGTGGGCAACATTCTGAGCTGTGTTGTTCTGCATAATAAAAATGTTTTCTACTTTGTGCTGGTGCCAAAATTCAGTAAAAACTGATAACAGCAAAGTTACTTTAGGCATAAAAGAGTAGAAGCATATGGAGATGGGAGCTTGGAAAATAAAACACTTCACTGAACTTAGTGATCATTTATTTCATTATTAGGCTCTATGAGAAAATTTCAGGAAAGATAGGAACAGATTTAGATTCTTAGATGAAGTTATTAGAAAACAGAGTTCAGTTTTCTCAAGGGGTCAACTGAACCACAGCAGTGAAAACATGTAGGGGGTGGTTTTTGAATTCTTGCTTATTTTGGGGATGTGTGATAAACTACAAAGAATAATTTGAAGCAATTACAGAAAAAAATGTTATGAAGAAATAAATGCTTATATAATATTCATTTCAAAGGTAATCTTAAATGTTATTTACATTAGCATAGTTTAGGAAATTTTGAGGCTAGCACAGCATATT